CACAAATGAATTCCACAAAATGGAAGGATTTGATTATTGGAGAAGGACAAATATTTCCAAATGCCACTGCTCTTTGAGAAACATTATACAAGTACAGCCTATCCCAGAAGTTTTCATACCTTTTTATTAAGAATAATCAGCAAAAGATCATTGTGAAGTGCAAGGTTGATGGTTGTCCATGGTATATGGGTGCATATTCAATGGGAGCACATCAAGATACTGAGTTTTTAACTATCAGAACATACAAAAGTGAACACATTCATCATGCACAGGACACCTTAATTGTTTCCCACTCAGGAAGGTCAAATTTAGCTGCTTCAATTGTCATTGATGACTTGAGGTGCAATGTTGACAAGAGTCCTAATGAAATTAGAAAGGACTTGTATAAAGAATATGGAGTGCAATTGAACTATACTCAAGCATATAGGGTCAGGAAGAGAGCATTAACAGAATTACATGGTCGAGTAGAAGATTCTTATAAGGTAATCCCTTGGATGTGTGAGAGATTAATGGAAATTGATCGTGATACAGTTGCAAGATGGGAAGGCTCAGATAGCAACCGATTTGAGAGGCTCTTCATTGCATATGGATGCTCAGTTAAAGGCTTTGTGCAAGGTTGTAGACCAATTATTTATATAGATGGATGTCATTTGAGTGGTCCTTACAAAGGAACTTTATTATCTGCTTGTGCATTTGATGCAGACAATGAGTTGTTTCCCTTAGCATATGGTATTGTTAGCGGAGAAACAATTGATGAGTGGACTTGGTTTCTACAGAATTTGAAGGAGATAACCAGATCAGCACAAGTGACAATTGTCTCAGATCGGAGTAATGCTATCATCGGTGCTGTTAGGACAGTATTTGATGGTGAGAGACATGCTTTTTGCTATCGACATGTGAAAGAAAATTATAGTGCGCAGTATGTGAAAATCAATAGAGGTGTGAGACGAACCTCAGAAAATAACAAGGAGAATGCACTTAATTTACTTGATGGAATTGTATATGCAAGGCATGACAATGAGTTTAATGTTGCAATGGGAAATTTAAGATTGTTTTGTCCACAATTGGCACAATGGGTTGAATCTGATGGGGATGTGGATAGATGGGCGCAAAGTAAATTTCCTTTTAAGAGATGGGATAACATCACCAATAATCTTGCTGAGTCTTTTAATGCATGGATGTTAAAAGAAAGGAAGCATGTCTTGCCGGTTTTGATACAAGAGCATCAAGAGAAGTTGGCCAAGAAGATGGTTGCTAGCAAAATGGGGATGAGAAGCTGGAAAAATGGTATAGGGCCTAATATTGAATCAAAGTTGTCGGAACAAATAGCAAGAGGTGCGTATATGGAGGCAACATATTATGGTGATGACCATATTTCGGTGCAAACAATGCGTGAGGGACGCATCATTTATGTGACTGTTGATCTTATTTCTCATAGATGCACATGTTTGGCATGGCAAATGAGTGGAATACCTTGTCCACATGCATGTGCGGCAATCAAGCTAGTTCACCGTAGCGTGTATGATTATATAGATGACTGTTATAAATTGTCCACACAGGAGAAAATATATGAAAATAGCATGAGGCCAATTGCAACGCATGATTGTCCACAGCCGGATGCGCCTACTGTGACTCATAAATTGACTCAAACATTCTTGCATCCACCCATAACTAGAAGGCCTCCAGGAAGGCCAAGGATTAATAGAATAGAATCTCAGTTTCAAAATAAGAAGGTTTATCATTGTGGAAGATGCAAAGAGCCTGGACACACTGCCAAGACATGCAAGAACCCAAATCCCATCTGAGAACATAATGAAATCAGCTATTTTTTGTATATGAATGTGAAGGGAATATTTTGTAAATGGGTGTGAAGGGAATTTTTTGTAAATGGATACATACCAATAGTTAGTTTCTCGTAATTACATGCAACCCCTGTGTTTTTTTGGGATGGGTTGTGAATTAGGTGTAGTTTCATGTATATGAAGGTGTAAATGAAAGTTGACTATGAATTGGCATGTTAGATTCTGCTGTCATTTAAGTTGTCATTACCTGCACCTTGTATTGTCATTAGACCTATTATGACTTGTCAACGGAGCACTGTCACTTGTCAATTAATTTGCTGATGTAAGTTGTCAACAATATGAATTCAAGTTACATAACTTGTTTTAGTAACATATGATATTCTCAATCACTGTGTCATATTATATTTTTGGTTATATTGTCATATATAATCATTATTAATGAAGTGTCAATGGTAGCACTGTGACTTGTCAATGGTGGCATAGTGACTTGTCAATCATGGCACTAAGACCTGTCAATGGTGGCACTAAGACTTGTCAATGGTGGCCCTGTGACTTGTCAATGGTGGCACTATGACTTGTCGTTGGTGGCACACGGACTTGTCATTGGTGGCAATGTGACTTGTCAATGGTGGCATTGTGACTTGTCAATGGTAGCACACTGACTTGTCGTTGGTGGCACCATGGCTTGTTAATGGTGGCACACGGACTTGTCGTTGGTGGCAATGTAACTTGTCAATGGTGGCGTTATGATTTGTCAATGGTAGCACACTGACTTGTCATTGGTGGCACCATGGCTTGTCATTGGTGGTACACGAACTTGTCATTGGTGCCAATGTGGCTTATCAATAGTGGCACTATGACTTGTCAATGGTGGCACACTGACTTGTCGTTGGTGGCACACTGACTTGTCAATGGTAGCACACTGACTTGTCAATGGTGGCACTATGACTTGTCGTTGGTGGCACACGGACTTGTCATTGGTGGCAATGTGGCTTATCAATAGTGGCACTATGACTCAATGGTGGCACACTGACTTGTCGTTGGTGGCACACTGACTTGTCGTTGGTGGCACACTGACTTGTCAATGGTAGCACACTGACTTGTCGTTGGTGGCACCATGGCTTGTCAATGGTGGCACACGGACTTGTCATTGGTGGCACTATGACTTGTCAATAGTAGCACACTGACTTGTCGTTGGTGGCGCCATGGCTTGTCAATGGTGGCACACGGACTTGTCATTGGTGGCACTATGACTTGTCAATAGTAGCACACTGACTTGTCGTTGGTGGCACCATGGCTTGTCATTGGTGGCAATGTGACTTGTCAATGGTTACATAACTTGTTATATCACTTGTCATTAACTCATGTTATATTACTTATTAATATTACATAAATTTATCGATATCAATAAAGATATAAAATAACAAAAATAAAAATGTGACTTGTGCCCAAGAAATTGGTATCATAACATCTAATAACAAAGGTAATAATATTATAAACATAATTTGATCAGTTTGTTACAAAAGGACCTATTGACCATTAAGCTATTGCCACTCATGGCTCAGACCCTTAGGTGCCAATCATCTCACAACACATCCTGGCATAACATAACAAAAAATTAATTGACTCCTCTATCTCCTCCTCTTGCTCTTGTTATAGTCCGATAGCAGTGACATCACTTCATCCCTATGTTCATTATGGGGATGGGTAACCAACCACCACAAACAGCCAACCTTCAACTCTTGCAATTCATCATTGGAGTATCGTGGCATGGTATATCCTGCAGCATCACGAGCAGTGCCATCCCACTCTTGTAGCCAAGAGAGGACATGAACTCCACATGAATCACTGCCAAGCAAATTCAATATGTAAGCAGCATGCAATTTTTATTGTGAACAAACACAACATAACACAATCAAACAGAACAACTACACTCACGTATCATTCTGCACATAAACTTTAGCCCATTTCACTTCGTTGCCAATGTTGTCCTCATTGGCAAACAATTCTGGCTTAACAGCACGCAACATCGTATGGAAACAGTTCATCTACAAAAAAAACACATAATCAAAAGGTTTTACTAACAACACAACATCCAGTGACAAGGGACATAGCATATTGTGACAAGTAACACAGCATCCAGTGACAAGGGACAAAGCATCCAGTAACAAAAAACAGCATCCACTAACAACTAACAGAGCATCCACTGAGAAGTAACAGCATCCAGTGACAAGTAACAGAGCATGCAATGACAACTACCAGAGCATGCAGTGACAACTAATAGAGTATGCAGTGACAACTAACACAACATCTAGTCAACTGAGCATCCAGTGACAACTAACATAGCATGTGATGACAACTAACACAGCATCCAATGACAACTAACAGGACACGTGATAACAACTAACATAGCATCCAGTGACAACTAACACAGCATCTAGTGACAACTAACAGAGCATGCAATGACAACTACGCAGACTGCTAGTGACAACTATAAGACTAGTCATTGACAAGTATGACAGCAGCAAATAAATACACACAGTCTGTGTTGCCATAAAGTGTTTGGGATTGAAGTGCCCTTTAGTCGTCCTCTTTTTCTTCTTCACATCATGTTGCTGCTCACCCCCCTTCTTCTTTGCTTCTTCTTCCTCTGCTTGTAATCTTATGAATGTGATGCTATCAACCAAGGAGTCAAGGGCATAGAAGGTCATGGTTTTTATCTCCAACACATAACAAAACCAATGATCTTCAAATAATGTAGGACCGAAAAGGAAATCGCAATCCCCTATATTGTACCCAATATATTTAGGTAATATTTCCCTTTCATGGTCCTCCCATTTCCATCTTAAAGGATTGGCTACCATTTTTTGCATGAAATCTGCAGAAAATATATGCCGGTTCACTCTCCCCTCTTTATCCTTTTGATCTCCAACAAATGTCTTTGCCACCATAGTCATAAACTGAAATGACAATATAAAGAAATTACAACTCTTTACCATCAAATAACTCATTCTAATGTTAACTATATACATGTGACTTACCCTATCGTTTATCCATCTTCTACGTTGGAGACATTGCAGCTCACCACAGGTTAGAAAGTATCCATACATCGATACAAAGTATCTAATGTAAATAAAACAATTATGAAGTCAGTAAATTCTGTAACATAATATAAATTTGGACACCAAAACATAATACTTACTGCTTTTGGTCCTCTTCATCACACCTTACTGTACACATGTCAAATAAAGCTTGCTTATCATTCATTGTTCTCTTTTTCCCAGGCTTAGTTTTGATTTCCAGAAATGGAGACCTAAGAGCCTTGCCCTTGCTTATGACCCTTGTTGATTTCCTCATATTTTTTCCCTTCCCCTTGCTTGTCCTCTTCATCCTCTTCATTCTCTTCTTCTCCTGCATTTCCTTCTTCATCTTCTTTGTCTTCTTCTTCTCCTTTGTCCTCTTCATCCTCTTCTTCTCTTCTTTTTTGTTCTTTCTCTTCTTTGTCCTCTTCTAGCTCTTTCACCTCTTCATTCTCTTCTTCTCTTTCACTTTCTTCTCCACCCATCTCCTTTTCTGATTGAGTTTTTTGTTCTTCTTCTTCATTTCTATCCTCTTCCGATTCAGTTCCTTCTTCCTCAATTTCCTCTTCCTCCGATTCACTTCCTTTGACCCCTTTTTCCTCTTCTGATTTAGATTCTTCATCATCATCTTTCTCCTCTTCACTTGCACTGCCACTATCCTTCATTAGTCTTGACTGAAGGGCCATCATCTCCTCTCCCAGCATTGACACTAATCGGGCATATGTTTTCTTGATCTCCTATACAAGTAAAATTCAGAACTTTAATATGTAAGCAACAGAAAAAAAATGTACATTAAGCCTCCAAGTCCACTTACCGGGTGAGTTAAATTTTCTGCATCAAAATTGGTGGCTTGACTAGCCAGATGCAATATTCCTTGATCGCTCTCCTTCTCCATGTTAACTCTTTGCTGCACTTTCTTTTCATCCCAAAATGAAAGAGTATGCTCAACATGTGAAGCTTTTGTTTCCCCCAGTGGAAACTTTTGTAGACAATACATCTGCATGTCACATGAATGATAAGTTAACAGCAGCCATTGACAACATTCAGACCATAAAATGAAATGATAACAGAAATATACAAATTATAATAGCACTTACTTGTAGGAAGTATAGACAACCTGGCACATTCTTCTTCTTTTCAGTCAACTTGCCTTTTTCTAATTGTTTTTTGTACACTCCAATGCCCTTGTATAGTTCATTCAGCACATAAGATGACCAATCAAACTGACCCAATCTATCCTTGGTTGATAGTATGACCTTCAACAAATAATCAGTGACACAAATACTGGCATTAGGACACAACAATGTTCCCAATGCATACATGACAAACAGCATCTCAAAATTTTCATCTTGTTTGTCCTCAGTCAACAATGATGCTATCTTCTTGTATGGAACATTACCATACACAACCCTCCATTGCTTGAACACTTCATCTTCACCACTCACAGCTACTTTAATCTCTTCTCCCTTTATTGGCAGCCCCATAAAGTCATGCACATCATTTGCCCTCATTTTCCTTCTCTTCCCTCTTATGGAAATGCTTTTTGTTGGAAGGTCGAATGCACACATAAACTCTCCACACAATTCTCTTTGAATTGTGTGGCAACATACTTCAATCAACTTATCAAAACCTATCTTTTTTAGCCTGTCCATTAGTTCCTTCCTCTCTTTGATATGCTTGCAAACTTGGATGAACTGTTTAGGTGCACATCTTGTGTAGAAAGGAACTATATACTTTTTGGACTTTGTGGGAGCTCTTTGTTCCTTGGCCCTTTTACAATATTCCTCTTTTTGTTGCTCAGATAATTTGTCCCAAGCATTTCTCACATGTTGATTCCTGGATTCAAGTGATTCATACTTCCTCGAGCTTTTCTTATGGAATTCCTCTGTAAACAAGGCATAACCAGAAAAATTACAGCTTCTTTGTCCACTTTTGTTGGTTCTATCCTTCCCCATCTTCTTAACCTGCAAAACAAGACCAGTATAATGAACTTCAATTCTTCTTAGATTCCTACTCAACTTTTGTAGAGATACAAAGCTTCCTAGATATAGAAAAGAAAATTGATTTAAAAGCACTACCAAATAGAGAGAAAAAAAATCTAACACTTGAATGCAGATGTGGCATGATAACAAATGATGGATCAAATTAAAAGTGATGGATCAAACAGCACTAAATCCATTCCCATAAATAAAACCATCAATCATGCCAAAATTATTTCTTGCTACATTCAAAGATATGATCAAATAAAAATCAAGTAATTATTTTCCTGCTTTTCTGTTTTGCTTCTTGTTTCAAATCATACACAGATTACATCAAACCCTTCATGCACTTACACCAAACGTTCCTGTTCTTCTTCATTAAAAATCTGATTTCACTATTACTATAATTAGCATTCAGTATTAATTACACATATTGCTGGAATGGTGTCTTTAAACATGTGAGGAAGCTTCAGGCTTGGTTGCATGAAATCAATCACTTAGTACTACTCATGAACATCATAACAGCAAAAAGGGACATTTCTTTCCAATTGTTCTTGTTGGCACAAATCCATTCATTTATGAGATTTGTGATAAATATACAAACTTTCTGGCAACTCTACTCAAATCCTTAACCCAAACTCTTTCATAGCAGAGCAAACTTCTCACACTACTTCTACAAAGATATACAAAAATAATGATGCATTTGGATGGCTGCATAATGCATATTTCAGACGCAATCATCAATATGGAAATAGAAATCCCCACAAAGGAATATAGTAACCACTCCAGAGCATACAATCTTCACAAATACTTTGAACTCCAAGCAAGGCATATCAACTATTCAGGCTCATTTTTGTAACTTTAACAATCCCAGCAAACTTACTAATTGCTAAACTAATTGCGCATGTGTAATTAAGAACCACATATGACTGTACATACGGTATACCAAACATGGGAGATATGATGAGCTACTTCATTCATAGTCGGAGGCAAGAGAACGTGGGACCAAAACTATACACAAATGGTCTCTGATTAATTAATTCCAAAGTGAAGCGGACATGAAGGAGCCTTCAAATTAAAATACACATACTATTCACAATGCAATTTTCTTCCTCAATTAAAAATAGACAGTGTAATGCGAAACTGGACTTAATATGTCAAATTTATCGACCCAGCCACATATTTATAATGGAAACTGTACTCGGAAAGAAGGACCACTTTCTCCGCCGCTCTATGAAAACCTATAAAAAGGTTCTTGAGCCAAAACAAAATAATGAAGTACCAGAAACTTACGCAAGAGTCATCTAATATGGAAGCAAATTAAATCAAATGTGAGGGTCCAACACCGTATAAATAGAGTTGTTACAGTTCGGGGCAAAAAAATAGTATATTTTGTTTACAATCACAGAAGGTTTTAGGGCAAGCCTCAACTGGGAAAAAATCAAAATAAATCAAGTAACTCTCATAAGTCGTAGCGCCCTTCAAATCAATATATCCATCAACATATGGTAGTTAACACCAGGTCATATTATTTACCACTCATCATAAATAATATCATTCAGCTCATATTCTAATTTTACAGTGTACTTACAAGTGTGATATAAATTAGCTAAACGAAATATCGCTGTTGCTTTGCTGTTCTCCTCAATATCAACGACGAGCATTTAATGACTTTGGGTCACTATTTCCGGCGGGTTGTGAGTCGATTTTCAGCACCACGGTGGGTTTTCACCGATTTTTTAGCACCGCAAAGCCACCGAGACCATTCAAATTTCTTCGGTCGAACAAAAGAGCCACCACGACGAGCATTCAACCACTTCAGCCTCCGATTTTCGGCGGGTTGTGAGGGGACTTTGAGCACTGCGGTAGGTTTTCACTGGATTTCCAGCAGCACGAAGGCACAACACAGTTTCAGCTTTCTTCCGGTCGAACGAAAAACAGAGGCTCTAATCTCCCTTCAGCATTTTCGAATCTCATAAGCCAGGGCAAGAGGGTAATTTCCAGATTCTGAAAATTGCATCTAAGTCCCTTTGGGACTTCAGAAAAATTATGAGATTTCAGGGGACCTATTTGCTGTATTTTTGGTTCTGTGGGACCTTAATGTCATTCTCCCTTATATATTTCCCGAGGTGCCCTAAATGCTACGACCAACCGTTAGACATTTCTAGCGGTTTTAGCGACAACCGCTAGAAATTTCTAGTAGTTTGGGACTAGCGATTTAGTTAAAACTGCTAGAAATTCACTACCTATATATACCCCCACGGTCATTTTCACTATTTCATTCGTTCGTGAAGCGAAGCTCTACCGAATTCTCTCCACGAAACATATCCGAGTTCAGATTCAATTGCAGATCCTTATTTTCAGGTAGAAATAGTAATTTATTTATAAATAATTTCTATTCTTATTTTTTTATTCAATTTATTATATTTTTGTTTATAAATAATTTCTCTTTTTATTTTATTTATAAATAATTACTATTTGTTGTTATTAGGATGAGTCGTCAACCAGGGAAGGCGCCAGTTGATCCTGAGAGGACAGGACCCAGGGAGGATCGTCGTGATGGTGGTTATAATGTTGGTGAGCCATTCCCTAGCATTCATGACTACGATCTCAATGAGGAGGATCTCCTTAGCTTTATGGAGTAAGATGATATCGAGCGGACTGAGGAGGCTCATTTTACTGGGGATGAACAATCCTATACTGATGCTAATGCTGCTGAGGAGGAGGAGGAGCAGGTTCAGGGGAATGAGAATCCCTATGTTGAGTAGCGTCCTGCTCCCAGACGTCAGGCCGGTTTTAAGGTGGAATTTGAGGGTAAGTATTTATTTAACTTTTTTAAATTTGACAACTATTTAATTTATATAGAAATTGTTTTAATTCATTGATATATAATTTATTTCTTAATTAAATTTTGCAGACTCGGAGGGGAACAGGTCCTATAGGAGGCTGACAACCAGAGAGCTGTCTATGATGACGAGCAAACGGGTGGTTGTGCCGTTCAATGAGTTGGGCCAACTGACAAAGAAAAGTGGCTAATTGTACAACAAGTACATGCGCCTTCTTAGTCAGCAGTGGACGCTGTTCTTCATCTACGTGCAGGACTGGAAGAAGATCACCTCAGAGAAGAAGCAGCAAGGTCGGGAAATGATAAAGGTAATATAAAATTATTATTTATAATTTTTTTAATTTAAATAAATGATTATATATTTTGCTTTCGAATTATTTAATTGTTTGATTGTAATTTTTTATTTGTTAAGTAGTTAAATGAATATATGTATTTTTTATTTAAATTACTTTATTGTTTGAAAATAATTTGTTATTGATTTCATTAATTTATTACTTATAATAATTTTAAATTAGTTGAGTAAAAATATATTTTCATTTAAATTACTTAATTGTTTAATTATGATTTGTTATTGATATAATTTATATTTTATTTATAATATTTTTAAATTAGTTAAATAAATATATATTTTTATTGAAATTACTTAATTGTTTGTTTATAACTTGTTATTTACTTAATTTATTGTTTTAATCACAAAGTAAATTTATACTGGGGGAGGAGTTGAGGACCGACACGATCAAGAGGCTTGGGGTGGCATGGAAGAATAGGAGGGCCGACCTGTGGAGGGAGAAGAAAGATGACGGGACGAGCCCCTGCAAGAGATACTGGCAGATGTACCTGGTGGAGTCCCGGAGCAAAATTGGTCCAGTTACGTCTATTTTAGGATGTCGGCTGACCAGATGGTATGATAATATTGTATTAATTATAATTTCTTCATTGTTTGTCCAATTTGACTAATTTAATTTAATTTTTTTACATTTTGCTTCAGGCTCTTTCCACGAGAAATGCTGGGAGCATCAAGCATCAGACGATACGTCATAGGGTTGGATCTAGGAGCTTTGCGATCACCTATGACGAGATTGTGAGTACTTGAAATAAATTTGTTAAATATGTATATGTATTTGATTTGTAACTAATTATTTCTTTCATTTCATTTACAAAGGGAAAAGACATAGCAGGAGCGGGGATACACGCCCACTTATGGCGAGATGTGGCCGATTTTGTATAGACATCGAGACAGGCATGTGTCGGATGAGGTTGAGGAGATAGCGATAAGTAATGAATTAAATATTAATATAATATCACAGTATAAATATCATTTCATACTAATTAGCCTCTTTATATTAATTTTGATAGGCATGGATGACTCAGGTCGACACCGAGCTGCGTGAGTCCTAGGGGTCTGCCTTGGATCCCACCGCCTCACTTTTAGTAGGTCGTGGCCGGGCGTAGGACCCTAGTCGAGTTAACGGGCTCGGACTTGGACGTACACTGACTAGGTTGTCCTGCT